GACATTTCACAATCACTGGAATCATCGGAATCACTTGAATACTGTAATGGAACAGCTCTTGATCTTCTCCTTGGACCCACATCACTATCACTGTCCTCGACTTCTATATCAGAATCTTCTGAATGTATCGAATAATCCGATAGAGAGTCAGCAATATACTCATTAATAATTTGACTCATATTACATGGGTAAAAAGGTACAGAATAATAAGACTTGTTATACTGTTCAACCAAAAGCGTAAGCGTACGAAAGATATACTGTCTGCGGAATACACTGCTCGAGAGTGATTCTTGCTTGGATTGTTTCTGAACCATCGTATACGTTTTGTTTTTGGAGTATAACAAATGAAGATCGACATAACCATGACAAGTGAATGCAAATCGATGTGTAAGACACCCATACCAGCAAAAAAAATTCCACATCATCGTGGGGCCGGCGCTCAAGCGATAGACCCAGAAATCCGCATTATCGCGGGGCCGGCGCTCAATGTGTTAAGATTGTTTTTCTTCAACTTCTCGATAACCTCGGTGGGTTGTACGAGAGGCAAACCTTTTAAAACCGCATTGAAATTTTTCTCCAAGGGGAGAGCATAGGTGTGGATTGTTAGACCAGCCTCAAGAAAGGCTTGTTTAGCTACAGAGAAAGCGTTAATATTACTGAAATTGAATCTGACCTGGTTGCCGTTGAATTTAAGATAGCAGTTATTTGTACCGATGCTTGCACTAAGTTCCTTGCCGAATTTAACGATGTCCTTAGGATCGATATTAATAATGATGAGGGGAGGACGGGGAGTGCGTGATTTAGCATTTACATTAATATTAGCATTTGATAGGTCATCATTGTTATTATTGATGCTGCTACTAGAAAGTTCGGTTAGCAATTCAGCACAAGCAGGATTGGTATTAAAAATCTCAAAGCGGTTTTTAGTCCACACATTCGCGTAAGAACACGAAGATTCGCTAATTTTAATTTTCTTACTGCTCATGGCAGTATTCGTAGATAGCGAAGAGGGGTCCGGGTTGATGATTATTTGAATTTCATCTGGACCACCAGCAGTAGTATTAACGCTTAGTTGGCGTTTCCGGGAGGTGGGCGTCTCCGCTGCTTCTTCCAGTGATGAGAGGTTGAAGCAGACACCCGATAGATTTAAGCAAAATTATACGAAACGTGGAACGGTACGAGAGAAGGAAGGAACGATATGCTCACGCCAGTAGCTGAACGCAAAGTGACAACTGATTTGGGCACTGATGTTCGGAGCTGGAGCGTTAGTCATATTTGTTGTTAAGGATATTTCTAGATATGTTTATTGAGTTGAATTTATAAAGTAGTAATGTCGCCCTGGCTGCTCGACGAGAACGAACGTCTCCGCAGCCGTGTCGTCAAGTGCGGCGAAATAAACAAAAAAGGAACGGTCGGATACGTACCGTTCTCGCGTCCCTACGCGTCAACACACCTCATCCACACACATGCGATGTGCGCTCTTATTGTTACCACGACATTTATATCCTTGATCGTGTTAGATGTGTGTTAAGCACTCGGGTACCGATTTCCGCGTACTTCAAATATTGTACTTGGTGCCGTCTGAAGGTTGAATGTATTGAGTTTGGGAGTCTGAGTGAATCTTCACGATTCCTGAGGTAGCTGATCATCTGTGTATTAACACTCTCTTGATCCTAAGCTAAGTCGGCCTTCTTATCGAGTCGTTCCTTCTCCAAATCTTCTAAAATTCGAAGAAGGGACGCGAAGGGATGTTCTTAAAATTATTAAGTGTCCAACCCCGTATCACCTCTTTCCATTGCGCCCGGAGCGCGTCACGTCCTTGGAGCGGGGGTGACGAAGCTGGTCCTTGCCGGACGGAAATTTGACAACAAAGGGGGGACAATCCGGCCAGGTCAACTCTGACTCTTTGACTCGCTCGGAAGGCCAGGTACTGAGAGGCCTCGGTAATTGCATCGGTTCCGATGACACTTTGGGGGTGACTTTATGATACCTTGCCTTACTGACTGAACAATAGAGAGGCCTCGGTAATTGCATCGGTTTCGAAGACCCTATGGGGGTGACTCTATGATACCTTGCCTTACTGACTGAACAATAGCCTATTCTTTAATATTTGAGAAATTCTAGGTGCCGTATGTTGGCTGCAGACCGGTCTGCTAAATTAAAGTAACGGTTTGCTGAACTAGAAATCACGTATCATAAAATCATCCCCTTGTTTTCCTAACACGCCGCCCATCTTGAACATGTATCGCATGTTCAATATTTACTATATCCTAAATAATATATCGCAAATAGTATAATGTACAATATTTCTACACGCTAATTATAAATGCCTATACTAATATATAAGAGTGCATTCACAACATGATAAGTTATTAACAGTAGTTACAAAGTGCTATTTATAGTATGTACATAGTCAATGAGATTTCTTGCAATCTATTCCGCTGCGTTCTGCCATGTGAAATCCTTGCTGGAATCCGTGGGTAAGATGCACAGCTTCGTGGTAGGTCGTAATTGTCCCGCTGGCCGTTCTCACACTGGCCACTCTGACAACTCCATCGGATCTTGGATATACTTGGATGATTCTGCCCATTTTCCACCTCAAAGGAGGGGAATTGTCATCCTTGATGATAACCATTGTATCCTTGGTGACTCCTTGTGCTGGATCGCGATGCCATTTGTATCTTTGCTGCATATGATGTATACACTCCTTCTGCCATCGTTGCCAGAAGTGCTGGAACATTTTCTGGATCAATTGGTATCTGTTGAGACGATTTTCGTTAGTGTCTGTTAAATCTTGCTCCGGAAGTGCCGTGAGAGCAGCACCGATTAAAAAATGACTAGGTGCTAAAGGCGAAAGGTCTGTGGGATCTGAGGACAGTGGTGATAGAGGACGGGAATTTAAACATGCCTCTACTTGCGTTAGCAATGTGTACAGTTCTTTGTAGGTTAAACGCTGTTCTCCTATAACGCGCTTCAAATGATGCTTTGCCGGTTTTACGGAGCTCTCCCGCAGCCCACCGAAGTGTGGTGCGTGTGGTGGGATTAATCGCAACTCTATCCCTTCTCGACTTAATAAGTAGGAGATGCTTCTATTGTGTTCTTTACTCCTAATGAGTGTACCTAATTCCCTTAGTTCCTTACGCGTGCCTATAAAATTTGTGCCATTGTCTGATATTATACATTTGCACCGGCCTCGTCATGCTACAAATCTTCGAAAACAATTGGTGAAGGCGTTAGTACTCAGATCGGTAGCTAATTCTATATCTACCGCCCTTGTAACGAAGCACACGAAGATACATACATATGTCTTTATAATTACCTTACTTCTAGTTCTTTCCTTTGTGTATATTGGACCCGCGTAGTCCACGCCGCAGGTATAAAAGGGACGCAAAGGCGTTACTCTGCTTGCCGGTAAATGACCCATTTTATATGTTTCGCTCACTGGCTTTACTCGAAAACATTTTACGCACGTTCTGACAATTCTCTTTACATTATCTCTAACCCTTAACGGCCAGTACCGGTTACGCAATGACGTTATTGTCAATTGACAGCCTGTATGTTACAGTTTTTCGTGGTTACGTCTAATTAGTAGATCGGTGAATGGGTGCTTCGAAGGGAGAACAAGTGGGTGTTTCTGGTTGTAGTCTATGGGGGCGTTCGCTAATCTCCCCCCCCCCCCCTGATCACCTCTTCACTATCCAGAAATATATTTATGTCTTAAGTGGGCTCGATTTTGGAACTGTCTGTTTTGTCCGCAATACATTTTTTTTCTATTGCAAACTCTTCTTCTGTAGCGAGGCGTTCTAACCGGGTTCTAGCCTTCCTTAATTCTATTACGGTCAACGCGTGAGGACCTTCGCTTATTGCGGTAGCCGATTTTCCGCAAACCTTATCTCGCGTGTTACTGATGAATCGGAGGCAATATGCTGTTACTCGAAGCAAACGCGTGTTCTGTGAAAATCTGTCGAAGATGCTATGAGTTTGAGTTGATGAAACTGTCATCGCGATTCTTGTAAATTTCTCTTCTGGGATGTTTGTTGGTTGTATTATTGATTCTGGCCACGAGACTGCATCCTGTGTCATCCAAGTCGGCCCTGACCAACAACTGGTTGATTGAGCTAATATGGTGGGTCGAACACCACGTGATATTAGGTCTGTAGGATTATCCTTAGACGGTACATGTCTCCAACGATTGATGTTGGTTAGCCCTTGAATTTCCGACACTCGATTGGCTACAAAGGTTTTCCACCTTGTCGGTGAACCTTGAAGCTGTGAGTGTAATCATTGAGTCTGTCCAAAAATGTTCTTCCAAATTATCTAATTTTAATGCTGTTCTGACCTTATATGTTAAGTTGGCTAATAATAATGCTCCACATAATTCTAGACGCGGTAAAGAGACTGATTTTAGCGGTGCTACTCTAGATTTCGCGCATAATAGGTGTGATACCCATGGGGTGGTCTGACTCCGAGAGCGCAGGTATACGTACGCCCCGTAGGCACTTTCTGACGCGTCGCAAAAGCCGTGAAGTTGTAATTGTACGGTAGGATTATGGTCGGATGAAATTGCGCAACGCGGAATTTTAAATGTTCTAATTTCATCGAGCTCGTGCCGATACTCCAGCCATTGGGTGTGTAGTTTTTGCGGAAGTGACTGATCCCAGCTTATCTGAATCTGCCATAATCGTTGTAGAATTAATTTCGCTGTTATTATGATCAGGCTTACTAACCCTAACGGATCAAAAATCTGCGCTATGTCTGATAAAATTATACGTTTGGTAACGCACCTGACATCTGTGT